GGGTGGACTTGGCTGGGGTGGAGGATGGGGGAGGCTGGGGCTGTTGTGGCGGCCTTGGTTGGGGTGGGGGGCTGGGGCTGGTAAGAAGAAGAAGAATGACGAACACGAGGAGGGAAGGAAATGATATCATGCGCTTGATACGTCAAACCTACACGCGGCACAACGGTACCCGTATATTGGCAGCTTCGTTTTCACTTGTGGTTGCAAGTGTGTTTTAGGTGTAATACTGATAAAATGAACATTTCACTTCGACAAGAATGAACTGAATTGATCTTTTTGATTGTCTTGTCGATGAACGTTCGATCGTGTTAGTATCGGGCTTCTTAAGCACATCGCTCGCAAAAGATACTCTTTCACGCCTCATCAGAGCTTCAAACATGTTCACGTCTGAAGTCCGCCAGATGTTGCTATCGGATACATCCATGTTTCGATACCAACGAGACTCATCAATATGCGTGTTCATGTCAGCATCAACTTTTGGGGCATCCAAAGTGCTCGAACTATCCGTGAATAGCAATGGAAACATGCATTACAACGTGTTCGCTTGTCACACTCGTAGTGAATAACGTACTCAACGGTACTGATATACTCTTTGTCGATACGTTCGAATGCTTTCATCTATCTGTGCACTTCGAGCCAAAACTCATTCATGGCTACTCGAGCGGCAATTTCATGTAGTTTGACAGAATAGATGTATGTTGTGAGACGTGTGTGTATGTTGTCACGATCCCGAGTGCGTTGTTGTCAGACCCGAATATACGACGTATCTCAGTAGAAAACATCGACTTTTCATGAAACGTTTGGTTGGCATATTCGGCGGATGCAACGTATCCCAGTAAAAAGACCCATTTGTTTTGTCTTTCGTAACTTGAGGTGGGTACAAACTCATTTGACTACACATCACCTCTATCAACGTTAAGCCCGATGGCAAGGAAAGTTCTTGCACATTTTGCAAGATAAAAAAGATCAGACTTCTCTGACATGAAAGGGAGTTTGAAGACAGCAAAGATGAACACATATCGCAACTTGCTTCGACGAGCACAAGTACACCCGAGTTTCAAGATGACGAAGATCTCCGCACTTGCCGTCGCTGCTGCAATTGCTATCGCCAACGTCTCTGCTGCCGACCAACCTGCTTTGCGTTCAGCGGCTATGCCAGTTGAAACAGCATCTAGTTCTTCGATGACGACTCCTGATGGAGATAAGAAGGAGTACTTCTGGGGCGGCGGACCTTGGGGTGGACTTGGCTGGGGTGGAGGATGGGGCTGTTGTGGCGGCCTTGGTTGGGGTGGGGGGCTGGGGCTGGTAAGAAGAAGAAGAATGACGAACACGAGGAGGGAAGGAAATGATATCATGCTCTCGATACGGACAGCCTACACGTGCGGCACCTATACATACAACGGCACCCGTATATTGGCAGCTTCGTTTTCACTTGTGGTTGCAAGTGTGTTTTAGGTGTAATACTGATGAAATGAACATTTCACTTCGACAAGAATGAACTGAATTGATCTTTTTGATTGTCTTGTCGATGAACGTTCGATCGTGTTAGTATCGGGCTTCTTAAGCACATCGCTCGCGAAAGATACTCTTTCACGCCTCATCAGAGCTTCAAACATGTTCACGTCTGAAGTCCGCCAGATGTTGCTATCGGATACATCCATGTTTCGATACCAACGAGACTCATCAATATGCGTGTTCATGTCAGCATCAACTTTTGGGGCATCCAAGTGCTCGAACTATCCGTGAATAGCAATGGAAAACATGCATTACAACGTGTTCGCTTGTCACCCTCGTAGTCAAATAAAGTTGTAACGCGATAACACGAACTGTACATACACACTTGCCACACCATTGTGGTGCGGCAGTACCTTGGGTACAGTGGTAGGTTGATGTGACCGTACCTAAGGTACGAAGGGTCGCATCGTGGTCACTTAGTTAAGTATAATGACTATACATGTGTACTTGCTAGTAGGCTACAGAGTCAGTAAATAGTGACTAGCACTAAGTATAGAGTAGGTGCTTCTACATTTGGTGCTAGAAGATAAACATTAAATAGATCAGTTCAAACCTGCTCTGAATAGCAAACGCGTTAGAGCGTTCTCTTCCTTGAAAGAAAGAAAGCATTTTTGATATTAGTCTCTTGAAGACGTGTCTGTTTCCAACCAAAAAGGCACAAGCTTGTAAAGCTAGCCTTGGGAGGGTTAAGAACCCTACGACATACAGCTCTTGGAGCTAGTCTTTCTCTGCACATAGTGCATAAGTAGCTTTGCTATAATAGCTCGGCTGCACCTGGTACCACTCGTAGTCAATCCCGGACCTCGGTTGGCGACTACTTCTCTGTGTGAGAATGGATTGAAGAGATGTCCGCAGATGGTCTGTCACAGGCACAACAGGAAAGGTTGCAAAAGCTGTTCCCTCTTCTTGACCCAAAGGGTGTGGATTACATCATCGCCCAAGCGAAAAGAGGTTAACAAGCGCTTTCATATGCTTGACGAGTACGCTCTATTCGAGCGTGTAAAGACACAGATGCCTTCTTCTGCGCCTTGGGTTGAGTCGGCTAGGTTTATAGCCGACATCACCTATGAACCATTGGATTATCCAAGCAATGGGCGTTCATATGCAAATGCATTCCCAACATGGACCGAGCTGAAGGTTCAAATGACCCGTCCGTATGCACCGCCAAACCAAGGACACTAAAATCGGTTACGATTTTTGGCGTGTCGCCAAGGCAAGAGTGAGCTTGCGGCATATGTGCAAGAGTTGAGAACCCTCATTGCTGCCATGGTCATAGACCCTATGCCTGAAGCAGTGACCGTCACGGTCTTTATGGAGGGCCTTCGAGTTGGCGTTGCCAGAACGGAAGTCTTCCGGGTAAACCCGTCCTCATTCAAGGAAGCTGTTGTAGGCATGGAATGCCGAAACCAACTTTAAGGCTGCTAGACCTGCCACTTACAACTACTGGTCTGTTCTTATGAATTGTAGTCAAGTGGAGGAAGAAGAAGCTAAGCTTCAAGCTGCAGAGCAGCAAATTGTGCGCAGATGTTATACCTGCAGAAGCACATGCCATTTGATGGCAAAATGCCCTGTAAGAAAGGCATATTTGCCCTCGAAGGGCCGACGTCCTATGGATAATCCCTCTAATTTACCGCGGGGGAACGGAGGAGCCCAGTAGGCGCGGGACGCCCTAATGGGAAAGAACTGAGTTCTGTTGAACCTCTACGAGATATAATTAAACAGGGTGTAGCCCCAAAGAGATACGAACTGTCAATAACGGAACGAGAATGGAAGCCAGGGTTGCTAGTCGCCAAAGGACGACCAAGGGCTTTGATAAGCCTTGGATCATTTTGATCGATTCGGGGGCAACAGGCAATTATGTTTACTGTGCCACCGTGGAAGGTAGTCAGCACTATGCTAGCACTTAAAACGCGTGAAAGTGACACAGTCACAGTTCGCTTAGCGACGGGTACGCGTGTTACGGTACCCAAAGTCCCGACGGACTTAAATGTAAAGGTTTTGGACGTTAACAGCATGAAGCTCTGTTTGGTCTTAGACCTGGATGCAAGGTATGACCTCATCCAAGGCATGGCATGGCTAGAACGTCATGAGCCATGGATTGATTGGAGGTCGAAGGCCTTAGTTGCAACGCGCAATGCTCCTGGTCGGGCTCTGGAGAGTCATAAACCCACCTCTGCTTGGAAGCAAAAGTTCTTTTGGCGCGGATATTTGTCATGAGAGTAATGTTACATCGTTAAACACCATGAGTGGTGTTGGTGGCTGCAAGCCCAAGATGTCAGGACACGAGTCCAAGTGACATTAGTGACGAGGAACTGACCCCGGAGGGCCGGGTGAAGTCACAAATGGATGTTGTCTTTGAGGACAACGAGGTGCATGCACCTAATGACGAGGCAAGACCCTGGAGGGTCGGGTGAAGTCACCAATGAATATTATCTTCGAGGATAACGAGGTGGAAGCACCTAATGACGAGGTACTGGCCCAAGAGAGTCGAGTAAAGTCAAGAATGACGGTTGTCTTTGAGGACAACGAGGTGCGAGCACCTCATGACGAGGCATGACCCAAGAGAGTGGGGTGCAGTCAGTTCACGAAGTGGTCTTCGACCTTGAAGTGTGTACACCTGTGAATGCGTGATGCGGCGGATGCTGAGAGCATCATGAGTAGCGATGATTATATCGCTACCGTGAGTGACGGTGATAGCGAGCAGCTATGCATACTCGTCAATGGTTTGACTGGGGATGTTGAAGAGCCGGTAGCTTTTTCAGCTATACCCGCAGTGAGTCCTCTGTTAGAGCGAGTTGTCCTTTGCCGAGTTTGGCAGTGCCTTACAGGCAGGCGAAATCGCCGATGTGGACGTTATACGACCTGAGGAAAAGTTGAACTCCTCATCGCTTTTGGATAAAGCAGTTGTTGAGGATACCAAGAAGGCAATGTATGCGAGCAGTGGATCGCAGATCCTGAAGGACCCATCGGATCCTTGCTTTCCTTTGTAAAGGAATATGGAGATGTTGTATCCAGAGAACCTCCCACGAGGTTACCTCCGAAGGTATACGTCATGAAATTGACTTGTTTTTAGGAACCAAATATTGTGTGACGTGACAGTAGCCGCTGCCACGAGAACAATGTAGCGTTATTGACGAGTTCTTTCGTGCGAATTACGCGGCTGGTATGGTGCGTGAGAGTAAGTCTTCTCACTCTACGCCCACATTTTGTGTGAGAAAGCCAAATGGGAAGTAGCGAATAGTGCATGCTTACAATAAGCTGAATGCAGCGAATATCCCGGCTCAAACACCGATTACTCGCAAGGATGTTCTTTAAAACAATATGGTGGGATGTACGATGTACATTGCCTTCAACTTAGTCGATGGATATCACCAACTACTCATGCGAGCTAGTGATATCCCGCTGACAGCGGTCAGTACAACGAGAGGTATGCTCTTAGTGATGCCCCAAGCGCTGTATAACGCACCTGAAACGTTCAATCGTCTGTTGACGCAGTTGTTTGGGCCCCATAGGGCGTATGCACGGACATACGTTGACGATATATTCGTCCATAGTCGAGCCGAAAATGACCAGACAGATGTGGAGAATTACATCGAGCACCTGCGAGCTGTGCTCGGTTACATGAGGATGCATAAGTTATATACCCAATATTGACAAATGCATCTTCGGTGCGGAAGAGATTCCCTTTTTGGGATGCTCCATTATGAAGCAAGGAATCTGGGCAGATCCTTTCAAGGCCAAAGCCATAGATTGGCCGGTTCCGAGGAGCCAGAAGGACAAACGAAAGTGGTTGGGTTTGACAAAATACTTGCACAAGTATAGCCACAACTATGCAGAAGTGGCTAGGCCATTGCTGAATCTCCTTAAAAAGGATGTGAAATGGTGTTGGAACACCGAGCACCACGAGTCTTTTGAAGCCATTAGGAGAGTCTCCTTCAGGCACCAATTCTGGCTTTGCCTGATCCTGATCGTCCGGTTGTTAGTGACGCTTCGGACTTTGCCATTGGCAGTGCACTCTTGAAAGTTGACGCTGAGGGTCGCAAACGCATCATCGCGTTTGAGTCTCTCCAGCTGAAATATGCAGCGAAGAATTATCCAGTTTATGACAAGGAGCTACTTGCGATGAAGTATGCCCTTGTTAAGTTCAGGGTGCACCTGTTGGGCTCAAAGCCGTTTGTGATCTATACAGATCATGCGTCGTTACGCACAGCGACACATTCGCCTCATCTCTCTCAGATAATGGCTCGTTGGCTCTCCTTTTCGCGAAGTATAAGTTCGAGGCAAAGTATAAGCCGGGAAAACAGAATGTTTTGGCTGACGCGTTATCGCGTAGACCTGACTATGAGCTTCTCATCTCACTGTTGTGAGATCGTCAGTAATGGATCGTATCCGTGTGGCGTATGCACGCGATCAGGCATGTGTTTTCATTCCGCAGGCGCTGGGTAGCACAGAGCTCGAAAACTCTAAGGTGAAGCTGTCATCACGCAATCGTGCGAGATTACATCGTTATGCACTGACTGATGGTCAGTTGTACTATATTGCAGGGTCGGATGACCAGCCTCGTTTTGTGGTGCCTCATGATGAGGACCCCAAGTATCACATACTTTATGAGGCTCATGATACACCACTTGGTGGTCATTTTGGTTGTGAGGAGACCTACAGCTTGGTGAGCACCCATTATTGGTAGCCCAAGTTTTATAAATGAATTGGTACACATTTACGCACGTGTGAAACGTGTTAAAAGGTGAAGCCATCGCCTAGTATGGCTTCGCCTTTGGCGAGTTTGCCTGTACCCTTGGGTTGTAGCAGTCCCTTAGTATGGACTTTGTATTTGGCCTACCGCGCGATGCGGCAGGCAACACTGGGATTATGGTCTTTGTTGACCGACTGAGCAAGATGGCTTATTTAGCGGCAGTACCGGACTCCATTGATGGAGAAGGAACAGCTAAGCAGTTCATGGATCGTGTGTTTCGACAACACGAATTGCCTGTGGCAATCGTCTCAGATAGAGACCCCCGTTATACGGGTAAACTTTGGATGTCAGTTTTTAAAATGCTGGGCACTCCACTGGACATTTCCACAGCGTATCATTTGCGGGCCGATGTTCAGATAGAACGCGTGAATCGCGTTATTGGTGATATGCTTCGAAGTGTTTGCGCTAAAACACCTAAGCAATGGAGCACAATGCTCCCACTCATTGAATTTGCGTTGAATAACGCGGTGCATGCCTCGACAGGCCTCACCCATTATATGTGAATGGTTTGGTTGATCCTCGTGTTCCGTTATCGCTACTCCCTGCCACATCAGGGCTTAGTGGGGAAGAGATAGCCGAAGTCTTGGCTGGTATCAGCCTGTTGCGATCTGCAAGAAGGTGGAAGCGTTTTTCAACGCGTTTTGACGTATAACGTCGCGTCAAAGACTCTATGGCTGAAAGCCAGGATGTTCAGAAAAAACAAGCAGATGATAACGGACAACATACAAAATTTGGCTCTGACTGCTTCCTTAAAGGTCGATGCAGATGAAATTGTCAAGCGAAAGTTCCCATACTGTTTGCATGTTTGAATAATTGCATTGCATGTATGGCTACATTCTTTGGTTAATGGTGCATGTTGTTACGAGTGGCAACGGACAAGATTAAAAGAAGCTGATTGCTTTGCAAATAAGCAAAAAAAGGTTCTAATATTTTTTACTGACTAAAGCATATTACTATAAGCATAAAGTTCATCGCGTGCTTATGCAGGTTATCAGAAAAGATGCATACTATTATCCTAGTTACCTATTGATGACAATGTCGAATACCAGGCGAAGATAAGAAATTCTAATTGGCAATTGGGTTCAAATAGCATTTATCCTCCCCCTACCCAATGTGCAGCATGGCGGAGGGAACATAGGCCTTCGAAGCCTTGACAAATATATTCGCCAAGCATGTATATCTTTAGAATGACAATTTGCCTTTTCGGATAACACAAAGAGCGCGCTGCCCGTCGCTTCCTGATCATTGTCATCGTTGTCATTCCTTCTTTTTCCCTTTATCTTTTCTTCTCCTGCTCTCTTCCCTTACGCTTTCCCTTCTTTTGCTCTGATCGCTCACGCTGTTCCTTCTCCTGCTCTTTTCCCTCACGCTTTTCGTCTCCTCTGCAAAATCTTCTCGTAGATGATACACAGCAGGACAACAAGCTTCTCAAACTTATACCTCTGGAGCAATACCGACATCGAAGATACTGGTGGATCGCAACTGTCCATGTGCCTTTACCATCCCCACATTCGAGAACTCGCAAGTTCTTTGACTACGCTCTTGTCAAGACTGAAAAGCTCGTAAGCTTCCTCATGAGAAACTCTCTTAGTTATCAATATTTTGATTAGCTTGTCTAGCATCTTACATCTCAGAGTTTTTTCTTTTATAGAAAATTGATGTTAAATAACAGCATATCCACCACTTTTTTGTCCTCATACGGAAACCAATCGCGAATAGTCACTGTGATATCGGGGTAATCTATGTCGAACGCATTCATCTTGACAACCCACTTTCCTAATCCGGTCATTATCTTTAAAACTCGATGATATTGGATCGTCAAGTCCCATCTTGTAAAAAACTTCGTCAGGATGCATCTTCAATTTCGACCAATTCTCTCGCTCGACTGTTAGCTTGGTAGTAGTACTCTCGGTCGAATCGTTCACATACTAAAACAGTCTTCATCCTTGTAGAACTTAATGATGGTTTCAGCCGGAATCAATTCATGAACAGGTTCCTGTTCGTTGTAGAGCTTGATGTACTTGATCCACTCCCGTGTTTGTTCGTTTTTGTTTCCCTAAAAATTTTCATCGCTTCCTTGGGCACAAAAAACACCACTTGTACTGTGGGGTGATTTTTGTTTACCCAATACGCTAGATCGTTAACTTTCAATACGACATTAATAGCAATGGACCGCTCTTCGGGAGTCGATTTCTTAGCAGCATGCACCTTCTTCCCAGCAGAAATGATCTTGAATAGCTCTGTGTACTTGTACTTGGCTGCAAACTTATCTGGGAGAGTGGCTTTGCTGTCTGCGTATGATGCCTTAACACCATAAATCAAGTGACTAAAACTATATGGATTAAGGTGGCTTCAGAATAATTCTTTCGCGCAAATGCTACCACCTCAGAAATACAACCCACGGCAGCCCCTACCATAAATATCTCGTCTGCGATGAGGCGAAAATTCGTAAACAAATTTTTGACCGATTCCACTGCCGACTCCGGCTGTAGCCGAGCTATTATAGCAAAGCTACTTATGCACTATGTGCAGAGAAAGACTAGCTCCAAGAGCTGTATGTCGTAGGGTTCTTAACCCTCCCAAGGCTACCTTTACAAGCTTGTGCCTTTTTGGTTGGAAACAGACACGTCTTCAAGAGACTAATATCAAAAATGCTTTCTTTCTTTCAAGGAAGAGAACGCTCTAACGCGTTTGCTATTCAGAGCAGGTTTGAACTGATCTATTTAATGTTTATCTTCTAGCACCAAATGTAGAAGCACCTACTCTATACTTAGTGCTAGTCACTATTTACTGACTCTGTAGCCTACTAGCAAGTACACATGTATAGTCATTATACTTAACTAAGTGACCACGATGCGACCCTTCGTACCTTAGGTACGGTCACATCAACCTACCACTGTACCCAAGGTACTGCCGCACCACAATGGTGTGGCAAGTGTGTATGTACAGTTCGTGTTATCGCGTTACAACTTTATTTGACTACGAGGGTGACAAGCGAACACGTTGTTATGCATCTTTTCATTGCTACTTGCGGATGTTTCAAGCACTTGGATGCCCCAAAAGTGGATGCTGAGATATACACGCATTTTGATGAGTTTCGTTGGTATCGAAACAATGGATGTATCGGATAGCAACATCTGGCGGACTTCAGACGTGAACATGTTTGAAGTTCTAAATGAGTCGCGACAGAAGATGTTATGCGAGTGATGTACATAAGATGCCGATACCAACACAATCGACGTTCATCGACAAGACAATCCAAAAGATCAATTTCAGTTCATTCTCGATGAAGTGAAATATTCATTTTATCAGTATCATACCTAAACCAGACTCGCAACCACAAGTGGAAACGAAGCTGTCAATCTATGGGTACTGTGCGTGTCGGTTTGACGTGTCAAGCGCATGATATCATTTCCTGCCCTCCTCGTTTTCGTCTTTCGTCTTCTTACCAGCCCCAGCCCCAGCCCCCCACCCCAACCAAGGCCGCCACAAACAGCCCCATCCTCCACCCCAGCCAAGTCCACCCCAAGGTCCACCGCCCCAGAAATGCTCCTTCTTGTCTCCATCAGGAGTCGTCATCGTACCAGGTGCTGTTTCCACTGGCATAGTCGCTGAGCGCAAAGCAGGTTGGTCGGCACCAGAGACGTTGGCAATAGCGATTGCGGCAACGACGGCAAGTGCGGAGATCTTCATCATCTTGAAACTCGGGTGTACTTGTGCTCGTCAAAGCAAGTTGCGATGTGTGTTCATCTTTGCTGTCTTCAAATTTCCTTTCATGTCAGAGAAGTCTGATCTTTATCTTGCAAAATGTGCAAGAACTTTCCTTGCCTTGGGCTTGACGATGGTTGAAGTCAAACATATTGGTCTGATGTGTACTCTCTTGATTGCTTTTGGCCTTAATAATTACTGTAATCTACTCCTTGATAATCTGAACTACACTCTCAAGACGCCTTATGCGCTCATGGCGCCAGCAAATGTTTTCACAAATATATCTAGTGCCTTGCATTTCACGTAATCGGGATACCGCGCGCTTAAACGCTACCTTCAGGTCTGTGAGCGCAACCAAGTCACCTACATCCCAAGCGGTCATCTGCGACGGACCATACGCACCTATAGGGGAATCCCACGAACTTGTGCTTGGTACGCCTAGTGTCGCATTCTCCTTATTCATGCGCTGCTTCTCCTCTTCAATGACAGACAGGCTGTTGGTACCTTTTGACGCTGCCCAAACCGTCTCGTCGTCAAACAAAAATATACCACGAGGCTCTGCAGCTTCAGATGATATCACTAGACGTGTTCGATGTTCATACAATTCGTCCACAAGCACAATAAATCGTCGCGCTTGATCGTGTTGTGCCATGCCTAGTATCGGTACATCATCCAGCACCAAGGTATGAAAGCACTCTGCCATCGCCTTGTAATCGGCGACACCTTTTTCACTATGGCACAAGAAACGGAACGACGTACGACACACACCGCTCTTAACATGACCACGCACATCCAGTGTACGCCCCATCATCACTGGCACACGCAGCAGTTTGTCCTGAACCCTACCATTACTCCGAGCAAAATCACGGTCATCAGCAACTAGTAAGTCTTGATACAACTTGTCCATCTTTATTTTTGTAGCATTTGAAAGTGGCGATAAGAAGGTCTCCGTGCCATTCATGCGCTCACAGAGATAGCGATAGTCTACGTCCGAGTCCATTGACACTACCCTCGTGTGTTTCGCCAGCTGATCAAGAAACGGCAAGAAATACTCGCGATTTGTGCCGTCTCGATACAAATCCTGTCATAATTGACACGTATATTGTCAGTCAAACCTAGCACATTTGTTTTCCTACAAGGTACCAAAAAAAGGCTTACCTGTGGTGGTGTATTTGACGTTGCAACCATTACTACACCTCGAGTAAACAGCACATGAAAGAGTTTTCTCATAATCAATGCATTTGCTACATCAGTGACTTGAAATTCATCAAAGCAAAGTAAATGACTTTCATCTGCTATTGCATGCGCTACTTGTCCAATAACATCTTGATTCCTCTCCAAGCTAATGTGTCTCTGTCTGCCATATCGTTCCAATTGTTTTCTTTTCTCCTGATCCAATCGTATCTGAATATCCAACATAAATGTATGAAAATGCACCCGTTTCTTGTGTTTTACATTAACTCCTTGATAGAATAAATTCAATAGCATTGACTTGCCCGTACCCACACCTCCGTAAAGATACAATCCTCGTGGAATGTGCAAGACTTCTCCTTGATCTTTAGTGGGTAATGTATAATCATTCAATCGAGAATGCAATTTATCCAAATATTGATGAACAATTCCCAATTGATTGGCATCAGGGATAAGATTTTTACTCTTTTTTCGTGCATTATAAACTGTAGAAGGCTTGGAACATGAAAATGAGTGAGTATTGAAGCAACGTAAGGATGAAAATGATGCAGTCGCAGGTGAAATACGGAGGTGAGGTATATAATGCATGGCGTCGTGGGTGATTGACTACGACTACTTCAGAGCAGAAACAATTGGGACTCTTAGGTCAAACTATTAAAAACAAATGCGTCTGACGAAATATTTCTATCTTTGTTTCTAATGAACAATATTGTTTTTTGTTTTGTTTGTGTAAATATATATATGTTCTATTTTATAATGGCAAAGCAATTAATTAAAAAAGTTGCTATCTCACATATAAATGGTTTTTCTGTCTTTTGTAAGAAATTTCGTGCTCTATTCTCTTGGTACGAATCATTGCTAGACAATTCCATCATTTCAGCTATTTTAGCGGAACAAACTCGTGTCACCACGAAGAGCATTCCTATGCATGTCTCTAAAATCAGGAACAGCTACGAATTGGGAGGAAGAAGATTCTTTGCTTGCACTCCATTCTTTCCTTGTAAATGAATCAACTGCAGGGGCTGATGGTGTCATAAAAGCATTCCAGGAAGTTCGTGTTGTGTGATACGGCATCAAAGAAGGAGTAGACGCCATAGCGACACTGGATAGCGCTGGAGATGAAGCAGAGTTTGTGAACGTCCTGTCGTGATCTGACGCGTATGAAGGTGTTTTACCCATATACACATGAAATAAAGACTTGGGCACTGTATTGTCGTCTGAAAACAACGACGCCGTATCATCTGTCCTGATTGCTGCAAACCCGTCATGGTTTCCACCTTGCACAATTGTCATATAGTGATCGAGCATACCATCTGTCTCTCCTTTCGCCACGCTGTCCTCAATGAGCGCGCTAATGTGACCTGTTGCTTCATGCATACGCTCAGCATAGATTGCACGACCTCGAAGCACACGACGAAGCAATGCTGCCAATGCAGCATCTCGTGACACGACAAAAGCACGCAGATTACGGATAACTGTATCCGATTGCTGCAAATATTCCTGCGTCGTAGCTGCCAGCTTCTGTTCATTGCGAAGCATACGCTTGGTATGCTTCGGCTTGCCACTTCGACCCGTGCTTACTCGCTTCTCGCGTGCTTCGCGCAATGCCATCACCTTGCGCGAGTAGTGATCGTAAAGTGCTTTTTGCTCCTCGCACGTAGTTGCTTTGTTCTGGAGGCTACGAGCATGTTGCAGCCAAGCTTTCACAGGAGTCAAGACTTCGTGTTCCAGTAGAGCATAGGTTTCTCGGAGCACAATCATATCCACATCAGTAAAGGCCACTCGAGCATCGCCAGCAAACTGCTGCATGTTTGAGGAATCCACAGATTTCGGCGGATGGTAGCTTGCAGTGTCGCTACCTCCAGATGACAAACCGTCAATAGCGCCGACCACTAAACTTGCCGCAGCGTGGAAGGTTTTAATCGAGGCGGCGTATGATTTCAGCGTCAATTCAAGCGTTTCAAGTCGTTGCAGAGTGGACAAGAAGTCCGAGTAGGCCAGATTGAAGGCCATATTTGTGCTCGGCTTGGCAGCGCCTAAAGCCATCATGAGTTTGTTCTTGGTGCGCACACGCAGAGACGACATTGTAATATCCGGGTGTAATGGCTTTTGAGACAAAACCTGCTTTCTTGGTCAAGAAACTCTTGCGATCCCGAGGGACTAGCCGAGGACGAAATAAGCTCAGACGTGTGGTCAAGGTCTATCAATAGTCCGGACGTAACGTCTAAAGATGTCTAGCGACAAGTGGCATTGACTAAAAATATGAACCCTCTTGTCGAATTCTACCAACCTTTTCTTCTTGTTTTTCTGCTTGCCTCTCACTATGTGGTGCCGGTATAAGCAGATTGGTAATGTAAGAATTCCTGGGCACATTGAGTCTCAAGTGGACAGCTCTTTGCACACGTGTAGACTACAAGTGTTCCCCACTCACAAGTGCGTGATGCAATGTCTCCGAGTGTACCTTGCAAGTCCACACCCAGGTAATTCAATAACTGCGGTAAGACCTGGAACTCAAACTTACGCTCACTACCGCACCGTTCGCACGGCGGCACATCGCCGCTGTGCGTACCCTCCGAGTGCACCCATAGCACGGCCTCGTTCTCCCAGCAACAGTAACGTAGCACCTGATTCTTGGCGATCGCCACGCGCGTAAGAAAGCGCACGTACTGCTCGTCTTGGTCCTTGGTATGGCCCAGTGCCTCATTTAGCTCTTGCTGAGTCACATCCAGATCCGTGTTGTCTTCTTCCTGGCCCTTAGCTTTAATCGAAGACACATTGTATAACATCGTAGTATTCGGCAACAGTCCAATTTGTGATAGCAATACAAAGAATATAAATCTACATACTCTTCTCATACTCCGATATCATCCTAGCTTCGTATCTGACAACCACATATAGCTCACGTCAGCTCACTCAACCCACACTAAGGTTCTCAGCAGAAACGCACTCGTTTGCAGCCTCTCTGCTGTCTGGTTCATTATCAATCTCCAAATCGTGTCTAGCAAAGACCCACTTGGACCCTTTCGTCATCATCTTTTGCCGCGCTTCATCCGACTCCACCAACGAGTGCGTCTCTAAGCTGTCCACCATAATCGTCCATTAGATTCTTTAATCAGCGGCAGTATATCCATACAAAACACTCACGCACCATTGTGCACACGATTGTTTGTGTCCTCCAGCTGTCCAATGGTCCTTCTGGTGGCTTTTACTGCAGTATTGCGCCATGTGACATGCACTACATCTAAATGTTGCACGTGCTCCACAAAGCACACATAGTTCTGCTTTGTTACCAATTGCCTTCATCTCTTTTGCACCACTTTCACCCGCATAAAAGACATTGTCCTTGGGCAATTGCAGACGAAAAGCTTTTCCGTCGCCTTGACGACTGCAACCAGGAGAGCGACATACAAAGACGTACAGGCTCCGGTGAAACGCATCAATTATTTCATCCAATGGACAATAAATTTGCAATAAGAAAGACAATGATTCATTGCATTCAATGCACTGTAGCTGCGTCGAGGATGGAAGACCTAGAGTCGATGGACACAACCAACTAGGACGTCCACCAATTTGTCCTCCATCCCACTTGGTCCAATCTGGCTCCGAATGTAGTGGTTTTTTATTTATTAAAGGTGGTGTATCACATACAAAACCAAGCTCCACCTCAGGCTCGTCATTCAGCTCCACATCGTCTTCCAAGTCGCTACTCATTGATACGTCGTTGGTTGTCAAGTTATGTAACGTGGCATACATCAATCGATGAAGTGGCAGACATCAATCGATGAAGTGGCAGACATCAAAATACTACTGAATGGGATTTTAACCAATCAATAAGCTGTAAAAATCCGACTACTTTGAAGTATTAATGGCAGTACCTAAGACACTGGTAGTGGCCGGAGCAGGCGTCGTGGGACTAGCAATAGCGCGTGTAGCTGCTTGTCGAGGGATCGAAGTTTTAGTGCTTGAAAAAAATGAATTTGTCGGACAAGAAACCAGTGCACGGAGTAGTGAAGTCGTGCATGGTATGTGGTGTGGTGTACATAAGCTGAACTTTAACTTGACAATTGTAACGGTTTGTTAATTGTGTAGCCGGTATTTACTACACTAAAGACAGTTGGAAGGCGAAACTATGCGTTCAAGGCAAAGAAAAGCTCTATAAGTTTTGCGACGACTTTGGTGTACCGTATTTACAATGTGGTAAATTAATCGTGGCCCATTCGCATCAGTCGGAGCAGTTGCGATCAATTTTGAAGCGTGGACTGGCAAATGGTGTGAATGACTTGAAGCTCCTGACAAAGACGGAAGCACGAGCTATTGAGCCACAGGTAAAATGCCACGAAGCGCTGTTCTCACCATCGACGGGTATCGTTGACTCGCACGCGCTCATGCAGGCGTTGCAGGGCCATGCCGAGACTTTTGGTACCGTTGTGGCGCGTAAAACGACAGTCCAAGGAGGCAGTTATGATACAAAAACGAAGACATTTGTGATTAGAGCAATACAGAACAATGGAGAAGATGAACAAGAGGTAAGGTGCGACTACTTTGTCAATGCGACGGGCATGTTTGCGCCGAATTTCTTTGACAAAATGGATTCTAGTGTTGAACATCCATCGATACTGTCGCTTCCCTCCCTTCCCAGTCGGTATGCCAAGGGAACGTACTTGAAGCTCAGCACACAAGATCGACCTTTCAGGTACAAGTACAATGTTATGGATGGTGTTGATTTGCTTTGCCCTAACTTACAAGTTGGCCGTAAAATATTGATTCTTTCGTCTAGTCATTTAGTGTATCCTATTCCTGAGGTTGGCGGTCTTGGTGTGCATGCGACGATTGATCTAGCCGGGCATGTTCGATTTGGACCAGACGTTGAGTGGATCAATGATATTGACTATCAACCTGACCCGTCAAAAGCGGAAGCCTTTGCAGCGAAGATTCGTGCATACTGGCCCGGAGTGCGCTCAGAGCTACTGAAAGCTGATTATTGTGGCATTCGCCCAAAGATTACCGTCAACGGCAAGATCTTTGAGGACTTTTACATAGCGGTGAGCTCTCTTTGTATACTTTCTTTTGTCATTACACTGACACGTATGTATTTGATGGTCGTTTAATCAAACCAATACTAGGACAAACATTCCCATGCTGTTCCAGGCTTTGTGCATCTTTGCGGCATCGAGTCACCTGGTCTTACTGCATCGCTTGCAATTGCAGACACTGTTGTCGACATGCTGCAAGAAGAAAAGTGATCGTCTATACCGATGCATGTGTTACGTGCTGTGACACAGATCCTTGGCTTCCAATTGTCTCGTGTCACTCGGTGCAGACTATACTGCCACCTCACCGTCTCTGGTGAGGCCCTTTACTGTGGATCCAGTCGACATATATAGTTTTCATCCACACATCAGTCCAAGAAGACCGGCGCGTCCTTCTCTTTCGTCAGATTACGTCCCGCAATGACATATATATCATGACATACCAAGAAATGCTCGCATTTTCTCAAAATATGACTGCGCTGAAGTTGAATGTTTCTGGTGTGTTGAACATGCTAACTCCAGTCAGCGTTGCCTAAAATTCTGCTGCAATTAGGATTGTCATCGCATACGGTGAACTATTTGCGACTAATGGCAACCAATTTACACCGACAAGTAGCAGAGTTATTGCAAAGGGTGCGCATGACGCCGCAACAGGGAACAAAACAACAACCGTATGCCCTGGAGAGCCTGCCACACGTGTCCAGATGAAACTGATTGAGCCAATTTACAACTATCGGCTGTCTTGGTCTTTGTCCCACGCCAGTAGCAGCAGATCGCCAAATTGAACACGCTGCACAAAGGCTGCCAAGTGTACCGCGTTTGCCCGAGAACATCAAGCATGGGCATAAATGAGTGTAAACTACTCGCCACGCCTTCCTGAAAGGACAGTTTGCCAACAAAAATTGCTTTAGCTGCCCCAGCACATTTGTGGAGATTGCGGTTGCAGACTATGAATAGATGTGTCGCGTCCTTACATCTAGTGTCAAGCTGATGGTGATGAAGGCAGTACTGGAGGTATATTCAACATTTCGACGTCCAAGCATCCACAAGCTATTCACGAGGTCACATTCACCATTCTTGCATGTGTCTGTAGTCTTGAAGATGCTAGAGCTTCCGCTTCATGGTAACAACAATATCACCACGCGAGGACCTCTTGTTTCAAACAAGGCACGCGACAGCAGCATGACATAGAGTTTTGTGAACGATTCCTGGAATCACTCAAATGCAAGGTGTGTTTGCATTGTATAGTGTGTCATTGATTGCTCACTTTGGACCGCACTGTCTGTCGTGTTCCGAGAAGGATTGTGTCTCTGAATACCGGAATTTTCAACATGCTAATAGTGACGACATGGCTGCATAGGGTCGTCGTAGAAGCATGTGAGACCAAGCTGCAGACGAGGCACCGACTGCTACGTTAAAACAACCACCGCATACAATGAGGAGCCAGTGGACGTACACACGTTGACGCGACGGCGCGAACGAGGCAAGAGGCATTCAGTGCAAGATGAGCAGCAAAAAGTCCAGCAAAAACCTGCAGCATTCCATGTCAGCATAAGAGGCACCTCCTAACAGGGCGTTCAACTTGGTACGAAATACTTGACGTCAGCAGCTGAAGAAGATGCGCTTCTTTTTATATCATACCAAGGGCATTGAATCAGGCACCACCAAGACAAGACCTGGCTGTAAAAAGTCAACACTGATCGGATACCAAACAATCTATGATAGGAGCTACCGGTAATACAACCATTAGCAAAGCAGCATGATAGAAACTATATATTCTTGCGAAAGCAAATGCACATCCTGACGTGCGTAAAGTGAGATGTGACTCTCGCCGCAAAACGAATCGCCACAGTCTTTAACTGCAACGGTGACCCAAAAAAGGCGCCAAGTATGGTACAAGAGCATTACAAGCCTCATTGTCATTGATTGTCATTGAATTCGTAGAAGTTTACCGTAAAAATGGCCGAGGTAATAGAGTTTGACAACGAGACAACTACAATCACGATACGCGACTTTGGATAGGCGCAAGCTCAGGTAGAAACACCACGAACGACTGGTCAAGAAGTAATGACTAGTAGATAGGAAAAGTCGTCTCGTTGCAATCCACGCGAAGATGTCAACCATGCACACAGCAACATCTGGATTCAAGGAATTTCTTGTCCACCTTTTGACTGCATTCTGAGAGCAGCGTACTCTGAAGGTGGAAAACAGGACGTGAAGGTCTATTATACTTACGTATCAATCATCCAGCGCGAGACCAATCACTGAACCGCTTCCTAAACCGAACATTTGCGTTCTACGTTCGCAGATGTTTAAGCTCTATTTTGACGATATAAAGTCATTGAAAATTAATTTCCTGGCAGAGGAGGTCAATGTAAAAGCCATGGTAGTCTTATCTTCTTCTCCTTCCAAAATATAAAATCTTCCACTGCATTTCAGGCAAATGAAGCGCTTCAATGCAACCGCATTAAAAGTACCGTTTATCATACATATACCACCCGTGGCCATGTTCGATTGATTAGTAACGACTGTTGAAATGTATCTCCGTCGTATTGGAGCGAGTATGTTGTATGAAACCTGAGGGAGGGTCAATCAATGGAGATGAATGGTTGAATACGTTACAGTTTGTGGCACAACGCATGTCTGTATTGCGTTAGGCAATTAACTACAGATATAGAAAGTACCAAAACCCGTCATAAAAGTTGATAAGTACTTAGGCAAGCAATGGCACATCATGCAAGGATCGGTCACCTTCACTTCATTCACCTTCCCTATTAACGGATGTAGTAAACCATCAGAAAGGCAGAGCGGACTATAGAAGAGTCTGCGTCGCAACATTCTTGAGTCAAGTCGGCGCTAATGTAGTCAATCACCTTTAGAAGCTACCGGTTAGTGTCAGGCTGGTCTTTCTATCCAATAACCTAGTCTCCGGTAACGTTACGTACAATAATGGCTACATTATGGAAACCGTGGGGATTTTTGTCTTTGTTTGAGCAACGTACTTTGCCTGCCAGAACTGGATTCGCATGGTTAACTACTAATCCACGTAGACGTGATAGATATACGGGACTAATCGTGATGCAGCAGCATTTAAGATTCCTCGCATCCAAAAAATTAGGGCTGTGGACAGTAGATGACATTGATTAACTACGTATAACTTATCACGTCTACTTTTACACGTAACTACACTTGGCGCACTCTAGCATTCTACGCAATTGTCTACTTGAACAGATATTGTGTGCGTAGGGAGGGGGGAAATTGCTCAGTTCAGCACGACTACGGGGATGCAATGAGTGGAGGAGAAGGCGGCGCTGTGTTGCAGCTGACGTTGAATCAGCGCGAGGCTACCCGGCTGCCTTCCAGCGCATTGCAGCTGCGTCTGCTTCACTTGACCTTCCGTAGCCCTTGCCACTCATCTTGGAGCCGACAAGTCAATGGTTCATCGAATTCCGACCATTGTCTGTCTCCCCACGCATAAAACGATTGAAGCTCAATCACCGTCCTTCTCCTCGCCATGCCGAACGCGTTGGTCGTATTTATTTCTTGCCGGTGCTTGGGGGTGACTCACGGTCCTTCTGGATCCAAGCGCTCTTGAGCAGATCGATCTCAAGGTTTGTCTGACGCTGCTTCTGTGAGTCCTCGGCCTCTTTTGTGGTGGGCTTGGGGGGCATACTGTGCTCGCGTCTGGATGTTGTTTGTGGGGTAGAGCGCAAATTTTGGTTTAAACCGAATTGGGCGATGCAAACGCGCAGCCAGCCCTTCTCTTCTGCTATACTTGACGACGTGATGGGTTGGCTCTGAAGCTGAGAGGATTAGGAGTGTTCCTGGTGTGTCAACACGACAACTTCTTAGCCCAAGCAAATTTCCGCCGTGCTGCTAAAAGGGACAGCCTGCTTAGTTGACTTGTGTCGTAAGACGAGCCTTGAACTCGTTAAACCACGGACATCGTTAAGTTTGACTTGTGCAAGCAGTTCTGTTGAACGCCGTGTAGTTACAACATACATGTATATCCTCGTTAAAACTACCAGGACGTGACAGAAACCCCTGGTGGTATGTCAGCTCGCTCGACACTTTGTTGAATTCGTCTATTTAAGCACCGGGCCAAATTTCTGTTGTGGCTCGTCCAGCGCCTCTCTGGAGGCTCCTGCCAGGAGCGTAAAAATGGATGTGAATTATTGACGAGTAGTCCAGTTCATCTATCTCTGGTCTGGTGCCGCAGAAGATGAGAGCAGTCATCGCTGCTGATTCTTTGCTTTTTCAGACGAGCGCATTGCCATTGACCACTTCCGCCATTATTCATCCCATTTTCCAGCCAACCATGTGCACATTGCCAATGTTCCGATGTTAGGCCTTTCCAACAGTACTCGTTTCAGGCCGCATCTTTTGAATCTCGCGTCCTGTTGTAAAGGCTTTTGAATCTAGGTCAGTGTGTGTCGCGGATGACTATCTAAAATTTGTGCCTTGCGTAGGCGCAGCTGTGCCACTCACGCTCATCATCAAACCACACCGTAATTTTGCGGATTCATCCAGCTCGATGTGCATTTCAATCAGTCAATGAAAGCGTAGGCGGTAAGTTTCGCTGCACGCTATGTGCAACACAACTAGAAGAGGGATGGGTTAGCGACTTGATTGACACACACTACATTATACTTTATGATTAGGCAACGTCAAAGGCAAAAGACAACAATGCGGTTGAAATATAAAGGTGGCACTGGACGGTCGTGAGAACAAGGTTGCGATCTAGTATTGCAGAACGCGATCTTCATCAAATTTACTGAACACTAAGCAGTGACGACGCCGCGGCTTGCCGTGTTTGTTTGGTTTGTAAGACAATGCATAGGCACGTGTTTATTAGCCTACAGTTTTCTGTTAATGATTCATTCAAAACATACGATACCAGCCAAGACGACAGCGGAAGGGAACGGCAATATTTGCGTATTATCATGTACCGTCTTGCAGTTGCGTTCGTCAGAACTACAAAGCTGACTCCTTAGCGTCTCGGTATAGACTTGCTAGCGGAAGCATCGCAGATGCCAGCAAGTTGAACTAAACTTGAACATGTACAAAGATTAAATATAAATAGCGCTGCATTTGCATGTATGAATACTTTCTAGTCGCGTATAGCATAACGCTTGGAAGTAACGAGCCACACTCAAAGTGCATGTAGAAAGGCTTTCTTCAGCATGTCTACTCAGGTGGGTATCTATACTTCACTAACATGTCTTTAAACTAACAGCATAGCTTATGATCTATCTGCCTCTCCTCGCACATTACATCGTGTACCATGGTGTGATACTCTAAGTAGTATTCAGCCGGATGAGAGCTTTTTGTCGTGGTAAGAAATGACGTCTACAGTTTTCAGTCATCTAAGCGCATCTTTTCAAGTGATAGCAACACCTACTTTGCGCATGGATAGATAGCAAATATACATGTGCGCTTGCAAGAGCGAAGCATTTGACGGACGTCTGAAGCAAGAGAAAGATTACTTGGTAAAAAATCATTCCCTTTGCTGAAAACAGCGCAGTATTATGCTAATGGCTAATGGATTCAAGAGACGGCTGAGAACAAAAAGACTGGGACATTACGGGTCCTTAAGCATCGAAAAACGAAAAAAATGCCGCTTACTTGAGACACACAAGGACGTGCGATACCCATGCAAGTCGCATTGAGTCCATCCAACGAATATCTCGTAAATTGATACTTTTGGTGGCTTCAGCCAAGCATATTTAGCTACCTTACCATAAGCCTTATCCAGCAGCATACTACAGAGTTAAATTTTTTAAATTTGATCATGGTATCACCTCATCAATGTCTGGCTCAAGCTTGATAGAAAAGGGAGAAAACATTTTTCATGTCATGTCATGGCAAAGCGTTTGCGCTGAAGTGCGTAAGTAGATGCCGTCTGCTTTTCAATGTAACCAATCGCTGTAGTTGCTACATAGACGTTTTACTGATCTTGTTAACGACATAAACAATGCAATAAATGCTGAAGTTCAATATGTAGTTTGTATAATTTATATCATGGTGTATGCTAAATATTCCAAGCAAGCCCAACGACTGCGCGCTTATGCCTACCACTTCTCTCCTCTCTAACCAACAACACTTGTGACTTGCTCACAGCGACAAACAACTAGATCAGCAGCTCAGGACTTGTCAGCAACAGGCAGTCACGCCTTTATACCGCTTCTCGCGCCTCACCTCTTGTCTGTCTTCAAAGCGAATACGTCTATAATAGTGTGCGCGTCGTTATATTCGTGGCGCCCTTTGCTTGCCAAATACTGCGCCTTCAGTATTGATGTCAGTCGCTTCTGGCTACCAAATTTGTTTTCACTCTCACTTTGCGGCTGAGAGCGGGGGCGTTGCATACGCGCCATACTGCTCTCGGTCCTTCCGAATCCACGCATTCTTGAGCAAATCGATCTCCAAATTAGTCTGCCACTGTTTCTTCATGGCGGCATGGTCATCCACAGTAGGACCTTCATCGGAGTGAGCGGACTTGGGCATGCTAACGAATATGGATGAATAACTGACTCTGTAAACGGCAAGCAAACAGGAGCTTTCACTTATGGATGGCAAATTGCGATGTGAGTTCAAAATCGAGAAAGCTTGAGCAGAAGCGCCGCTCGCTAACCACCCACCTGTTGTCAAATTGTTATAAACGTCCACACGTCAGACGGTGCGTGCTTTTATAACCCCAACCCAGATGAATTCCAAGCTAAAACAAGCTCCTAATTTGCAGTGTCATGCAAAAACGGAAATGGCGATGGCGACACCAATGCGATGACGATCTCACGTGCGTGCGCAGGTTGGGCAAATGCGTTTGCTTGTACGACGTTGGTGGCCAACAGAAATAAGCCGCTTCATCTCGCTACGGCATGCGAATAGCGCCACGTTGCGAAATGAAAAGCGACACGAATTTCGGAGAAGTGTAGTAAATCAGGGTTCGTTTTACCCTAGATACCAACCATCATTCAGACAACCCACGTAACGGCATGCGGAATAACGGTGGTTAAACGTTGTTGAAAGGACTTGAACTGCCAAGCAGCGAAAATAGGCACCTTCAGTCAAGTCGTCGGTCATCGAGACATGGCTGCGCTTGGCATGTTATTCGCCGAGACTAAAATTTAGTGTGAGTTAAAAGGGAGGATGTTGCCGTGCTGTCGTAAAAAACAGCTTTGAGTAGGTAGATGCACACGCAGAAGGCCGAGCAAATTGTTCAGCTTTATACGTACACTTCTTCAAATATAGATTGCAATAAAGAGCCTTGTACTAGTGGAAGCCACTTGAACAACAGGCGCTTTTTAGGGCTGATTGTTGCAGACTTTCAATCGATAATAACATTGGACAGCCGATTTGACCAACTGATGCACGTGCATGACTATAATTGTGGAAGCAGCAATTTAGGCCACGACGGCGCCACAGCCGAGTAAAACCCGACGAATGAGATTTGTTTAGCCGCGAGATCACAACGTGAATACGCTGACTAAGCGCCGGCCGTTGCGAACGAACGAGACGACACCAGGTGGCACGGTGCTTATTACGATGTGTGGCACGGCGATCGTTTCTACAAACAGCAGTGAAATAATGCGCGGCTTGATGACACTTTCAGACCATCTGCTGCTGGCGTTGATGCGCTGCTTGGTAATGCCAACGCCAGCTGAATGCGGTTTGCGGCTATGGTATTATTGGATACCTCACCGAGATCGATATTATCGCCCGGCAATTACTCATCTAGTAGCATTTTCTACCATTTCATGCCATTCGACGGTTTTGAGACGTGAAGTGCCGCAGTGGGACTTGCACGATTTTCAGGCTGCGCAACCGGCCAGCAACGCCAATAAGTCGCCTTTGATCTGCGGTGGAACGTTCAACTTGTCGACGCAAGAACCTCACCGCCGTGAATCCTGATTTGCAGCCCAGCGACACTTCTTGAAGTTGGGCATGGCGTCTTTACAAAAACATTCATGATAGCACTGAGGCGATATCGAGTTATGACTAGGCTGCGGCAGGCCAGTGTTTCGTGACAGTGGGTAGTCGCGCTATCGCTGTCATTGCAACAGTCTGCGCAGCGGAAGTGCCAAGTCAGAAGAGCAATATTAGTGCAGTAACTGCGCACTGCTGGTTTAAAGCTACCGGTAGCTGGTCCACCGACAAGCTACCACCACTATCCGCTGGCGACCAACTTGCGTGCGGGGGGTACGAACCAGGAATTAGTATGGCGTCAAACCTACAAGTAACAATTGCTGCTCGTTATGTATGATGTAAAAACCTTGCATTTATAGTACGAGCTAGAATGTTGCCACCGAAACGAATCTCTATGTACACACTGGTATACGTGGCATATTCACGCAGCAAGGCGACGTGTCTGATTGTCATAACCTCACGTATCTCTATGCACTAACACACGTGGCAAGTTTTGCAGCAAACAACGTGTCTAATCGTCACTAAACTCTTGTCCCCCAGCCTTGAAATTCCTTCTTGTTAGACTGGTTGACAAATTCCTGGTACGCAGTTTAGCGGACCTTGCAAATCGCTGGCGCGCAATCCAGTAAGACCCTAACGACCATAGCCATTGATCAGCAGACGAAGCAATTTCAACTTCCGTCAGTCATGAAGACTTTATGCACATGCGCGCAGGTCTTCTTTGTGCTAATCGTCGCTGCTTCGCACCTATGCGTGCAAACATGACTTGTGGGCCACAATGTTGTTGTTTGTAATCATGATTGCACACCATGCTAATACCGCCTGTCGAAAGCATAAAGGGGTCAACTCCTTATCTGAACACAAATTATCATGTAGCAACTACTTTCGTTGCGTGGCATAGCGAAGCATAGGACTGGTCTTAGTCTCAGCCGTGGTGGTACCGAGTCCCGCGCCATCAGTGATAGTTATCGTTATATCGCGCAAGAGCTCGATTGTTACGGTGACATTACATGTCGCTAAACTTGTCCACGAACTTTTTATTCTTATAGCAATCATCCATACAACGTACAAGAGAGAAATGTGTGATCGAATTTTCACAGACATGTCACTTCATCTCCCCGGCTTCAACGATAAGTCGACAAGCTCAGTGGACCACGCCAGGCTTGCTCTTAAGTGCGCTTTCACATACCAATTCCGCAGGCTTCGGAACTATCGAGTTGTCATGCTCTTGTTGCTAAACTGTACATCATCATTACATGTTCACAACAAACTGTTTTCGATGTGTGCAAAGCACGCGCAATGCAACGGAGCCCTTCTCACAAATCGTGACTGTCGCAACGTTGTCTTGAGTTATACGTAAATATTCGCAAGTCGAATAGTTCTCGAAACCTCGACGTAACCAAATCACAGTCTAGACTTTGTAATATGCAGTGGTGGGATCGAGTCACTTGTTCATCGATGCCATATGGTCTATTGCTTCAAGAATAAGCCACTGACCTTGAAGAAGCACACAGGAAGCTGAAAAAACACCACGGTTTCGGTACTTTCTAAGTTCCGCCTGCACATATTTTCTGCACATTTGAACGCACCAACCATTTAATGTATCTTCAGAACTGATCACCTCAATTTTAAGTCCAATTTCCATTATTTATTGCTCAATTTCTCGTTTAAAACTTGCCAATAAAACTCCGTCTTAGCTAAATCGTCCCTGTCCGCACATTTCCTCGTCATGGTGACACAGCTGCTCTGGCGAGTGCAAAATGAACGCTTGCTGACAGGTGCTTCAGCTTCGCTTGCTCACTTTTTGCTTCACAACTCATGCACTGCCGTTTTCGCTGGATCACAACGCTGCGTCTCCACTCGATCTCATTGTGACGCTCACAGCGGCGACTTTCGTGTATTCTCGGGTATCCAACCTACTGGTACGCCCCATTTGGGCAACTATATTGGTGCAATTGCCAAATGGGTGGCGCTGCAACAGTCAACAATAGCATCAACGACGTCATCAAGTAAGGGAGATGGACGTTTAGAAAGTGATGTGTTGACGTCATCAACTTCAACTGATGACGCTCTTTGGACCCGCACAACTCGATTGTATTCAGTTGTGGACTTGCACGCCTTGACTGTAGATTTTAATGCCAAGCTCATGCCGAATCGGGTACATTCAATGGTAGCGGCGCTTCTTGGTGCTGGACTGGACCCAAGCCGTAACATTTTGTTCCGACAGTCTGACGTGGCAGAGCACGCCGAGCTTGCGTGGTTCCTAAGCTGCATCACACCACTGGGATGGTTGCAACGTATGACACAATTTAAAGAGAAGGCAGCATGTACCAAAATGGAGGGCTCGTTGGGACTATTAGCGTACCCGGTGCTTATGGCCGCTGATATTCTGCTGTACCGCGCGACTCACGTGCCTGTGGGTGAAGATCAGCAGCAGCACTTAGAACTTACGCGGAGGATTGCAACAAGATTCAATGACCGTTTTGGATCAAACCGGACTGGAGGAATCGAAGTGCTTTTGAAGCCGTCCTCGGTGGTAGAAGATAGTATGACGATAGCTGGCACTCATATGACATCACTCTCGCGCATCATGAGTCTGCGGGATCCGACCAAGAAAATGAGCAAGAGTGATAAGTCACCTATGAGTCGCATTGAACTGACCGATACAGCCGACGATATCCGCAAGAAGGTGCGGAAGGCCACTACGGATGCGGTTAGCGGCATTTACTACGACCGGAAGGAGCGACCAGGAGTATCCAACCTGCTCGACATCGTGAGCGCTATCACAGATCAAAGTATCGCACAGCTTGAGGCACAATACGGGAATTACAACACTGGCACTTTTAAAGACATGGTAGCCGACGCCGTGATTGCAAAGTAGGTCACTGTGTTTGGTTAGGGTTTACTTTGTCATGATACTCACGTAGTTTTTTGAACCAGAATTTGTCCTATTGGAGAGCGCATTAAGCAGTACAATGCAGACCCAGAGTACATTGACAAAGTGCTAGCAAACGGTGCAGCACAAGCATCAGAATTGGCTGTCGTGACTATGAAGGATGTCAAGGAGGTTCTAGGTCTTGCTAGAGCGTAAAATATCTAAAATCCGAGGTGTTTCATTTGGTATAGTTTGGTATCACATTGACTATTTGATAGTTCAGGTTATCGATTCATGCAGGTAAAACGTGACGGCATTCGCCATGCATTGTAAATTGACTCAGTTCCTATAATGTCATCCTCCTCCTCATTTGCATTACAAGTTCTTGAGGACCGCGAAGTCTCACTACGGTCAAAGGTGCTCGGGTCTTCGATATTACCATCTTCTTCTGCTCTTGTTGATCGTCTTTGCACGCTTCATGTGCAATTAAATCAACTTACCACAGCTGTATCTGGATCGACAAAGCTGTTTCAACTCTGTGCGTGATTGGAGAAATACCGATACAATTTGAATGAAATTCTCACGTCTTTTCCTCGTTGTACTGCAGACCAAGAAAACTCGAGTCAGTTACAGCTTGCGTCTGCTAACGCATTTGTCCTAAGTAGCTCCCAAGCTGGTGACGAGCTCAAGCGTGCGGCCATTTTAAGCTCCACGGACCGTCTACAGCAAGTTGCAGCCCAATTGCAGCAACTTCACCAATTGACGAGTGTTTTGGACCAACTTCGAACCCCTGACGTCCAGCAGCAGACACAATTGACGCGGCTGGAGACGACAAATGAGTTACTGAGTGAAAGGGCTTTAGCCTTTCATTCAAGGGTGGAGAACATGCTGGCTTCGTATCAGCGCATGATGCTCGTGCTGTCCGAGAAGTGTGTTGAGTACAGTGCACTACTGGATCATTTTGAGATGTAGAAGGTGAATAGCATACTGGAATTTTGTGTGACAGAGAAGAAGCGCTTCTGCTGTCGGGGCGGAGACGTATGTAGTCATGTGTAGAGGACAGATGACGTGGGTGACCTTGTAGTGTGAACGACCAAGGGTATAACTGCATCCGTTGCGGCAAAAGTATACTTTTTGTATTGATGATTGGGAATTTATGTCTGCATATGAACAAATCTTAAGAGCACGTGTCTTGTGGATCGAATTGCTGGCGGATGAAGTCAGGAAAAGCAATGTAGTACAAGTTATAATGAGCCTCTAGTGTTTGCAAAAGCGACGAGTTGTCTGCGGCAGCGGCATCAAACTGGTTTGCGGCCTCAGGAAACGTCATCGTGTTAAGCTCATTAAGGCTCACACCCGTCAGCTCATGAAACTTGCGGATACGAAAGTTACGTGCTAACGTGTTGACCGTGATCCCTTCAGGCGACTTAATAATGCGTTTGTCCACAACATTCGCGTTAAGCTCCGAATCTGACGTCATACTACGTCGATTCCAGTTGGCGGATCCAATAGATAGGTATACGTCGTCAATAATAACGATCTTGCTGTGAATGTAGATTTTCAAGTCAAGTTTTGTAGTGTACACCTTCAACTTGTCTGGATACTTCTTCTTAAGAGGCGACACCATGTCGTAAAAGTATTTTTGGTAGCCAGTGTATGCGACATTACCCACAGGGGCATTGGCAACCACTATCACTTTATACAGTCTTGGCATCACCTCCTCGAGGGCGTCGAGCAGTTTAGGTACGAGCACAAAATATTGGTCTTCGATGTAAATGAAGTTTTTGGCATTCTTGATAGCCTTAATACGCGCCTGAAATAGTGATAGTTCGCCATGCGGAGCAAACTCTTTGTAGTGCTTGTACTTGCAGCTGAAGGTTCGGACAATCTGCACGCTATGCGCGTCAAGGTTTGAGCTCACGGAACTGCTAGCATAGTTAAGCGGATCAATTTTGTCGAAACTCGGATTTTCAGAGTCAAGCATGTCATCTTTCAAGCTTTTGTTCGGCTTGTAGTCGGAGTTCCAACGAGCAAGGAAGTTGTTGGCGACGTCTTTGGCTGCAGGACCATGTATACGAATTCCCCCGTCTATCCAGCCTTTGTTATGGAAGGTGATACCAGAAGCATCTCGAAGCGCCGAGTTGTTATGATAAATGGTATCCCAACGATCATTAGTAAGGTCAATTCCTCCCACGTAGGCAACCGGATGCCCATCGGGATCGGAAGAACTTCTATCTGCAATGATTATTGTCTTTTGGTGGTGAGACGATGAAATAGCGCGCAGACGATCATCAAAGATGAATGTCCCACGAACTCCGTTGACCGGGGATGGACGAAGGGAATTGATGAAATCACGCGCCTTAATATTATTATCCCGCTTCAAGATATTGAACCAACAGAGGATGTTGAGTTCACATCCCCGCTCGACAACGCCTGCAAACACAGTGCCCACTCCCGTGGTGGCACCTGTAACATCTTCGTCGGGTTTAAGTGGAACAAGCTTGAAGTCCCAACTCGTCATCCAAACGAGCTGACCTTCTCCTACTGCTGTGAGGTCGTCGTAAACTGAATCGTAAAATTCATTCGTAATCGTAAAGGACCGAATAGCATTTCCCGTTGTGTAGACAGAAAGATCAGTTCGGGGTTCCCCGCCGCGTGAGACCGTTATCTCTTGCTCCGTGAGAAACCAGTCGGTGGCTTCAGTAAGAGGCTGCTTGAATATCACGTCTGAATCACCCCAGGTGTCGGCACTACCCTGTTTTGTCGCTCTAAATGATGCAGTTGTTGCTACAATCAGTAGAAAAGCGCAAGCCAAAACCAGATAAATTTGCGATGCGTCTAGTAGACTTGCCATCTTGATAAGGTACAGTCAAACGAAAAATGAAGCGCTTAGAGGTTTAGCATTATCAGACCACCCACTAGAGGAATGAACTCGGATCTGTCAAATTATATACGAAATCTGGTCGAACAGCTGCTACATGGTATATTCTAATCAGTCCGACCAG